TGTACTTTGTAACTTTGGAAAAGTAATTGTAGGGTAAATAAACTTGTATGAGTGTTGTGCAAATTCTTCTCTATATGACAACAAAATTAGGTTATATGCTGCTTATACATTGTCAATGTTAACAGCTTAAAGAGTTTACTGTATTTTGGCATATAAGTACTTCTTTCAAGTTTCCACTATCGGGCCCACTTTGCAATGATTAAATAAATTTTATTTCATTAATTCACGTTAGCAGTGTTTGTATTTTAGCAATTGCATCAAAGTAGATTTATGGCAAATTTATCTCTATCTGCCAACGGAGTCAGTATGTTTGGCATCTTTGATCACATCAACTTTTGTATTTTACAATTCTGATCGAATACTAAACCAAGACTAAACCAAAATATATATGAAGAGTCGGAAAAGTACATAATTTTATTTTTTATTTTATGTACTTATAATACACATAATTATGTATATTATAAGTACATAATACATAATTCTGGCAATACCCTGGAAGACTAAATATACAATTATAATTACTCAAAAACCTACATTTATTTAATCTAAGGTTAATAAATTAGATTAATGAAGAATCAGTATTTATTAATAAAAAACGTTTCTAACGATATAGTTTCTTTCAATGTAGAGATAAGAGAACAACGAAAGACTTAGGGTTGACAAACGCAAAATAAAATTAAATAATATTGATAATTTTGTTACTGGTTGAGTGATAGATATATCATCAGTATATCTGTTTATTTTCTAATGGATATTTTATATTTACTCGTTGTAATGACCGTGCTTTTTAAAGCAGCTAGAGCGCTCGCCTATACTAGGTACTTATCTGACCTAGACTGTTTCAGTAATCCTTCTCAAGGTTTATTGAATCAAAATTTCAAATAAATAACTGTGTTAAATTATAATTTTATCAAAATTTAAAACATTACAGTGTTTTTTTTATAATTAAAAATGAAAAGTATAAACCAAACAAATCAGTAAATAAGTATTTTTTATGGTACCGGAACGAACTAGTCGTGCGCCTGGTGATAAGCGACACGCCTGTCCACAACAGTTGCAGTGCCATTCAGAGCTTTAACTCACAAAGATCTGAGGAGCTCTGCTGTTGCGCCTATCATCCTGAGATATAAGTTAACAAGTCCCGTGTGCCTCTAATTTCAGCAGCATTCTCACCCTTTAAAATCAAAACGCAGTAAAGCTCATATTACTGCTTGATGGCAGAAATAGGTAAGGCTGTAGTACTTCCCTGGACGTACTCTTTCACAAGGAACTTTACTGCTGTTGTTAAATTGCAGTTAAATTACTTAAAAACGACAAGTGAGTGTATCAAACCTGTTTTTAATTCTATATGCAAGTCCAGAAACTGCTTATCGCATAATGAGAGCATGAATAATCAGAAACAACGCAATGACATTAATAAAAATATACTGAAGTGTTATATTATTATCATAAAAATTATTAAAATGCATTCACACTTTAACATGTGAAACATTTATATTATGAAAACAATGGTCACGATTCTCCCCAAATTTCTGGTGGCGTGACCAGGTGAGCAGTTCATGCAACACTATTTTCGATCTGGAATAATCAAACTTTTACTTGTATATACGGAGTAAAAGAAAAGTATCACGGAGTTATAAAACCGGTGTCATTCAGCTGACATAAATCGATATCGGGCCAGTCTCTATTATGAACAGTGAACAGCATGTCCGTTTAATTAAGATTTACGATCAACTCCATGCTATCTATGTTAGGAACGTACGAATTTTTATTCATAAAACCCAGCATGCTGTTCAAACTCACACTGAAATACGCACCACTTTAAATGAATTAAAAACATTTATATATTACATATTGAGCTCTCTTTACGCCGACACATTTTACCATTAAAATATACATCAGCATATGATATTTCCAAAGGCCCCATATCTTCCTACATTAGTTTTGATTATAATAATAATAATAATAACACATACTCAACATAGCCCCGCACTAGGGAAACCCCGTGTCGCGGGTGCCATGGACACGCACATAGATAACCACAAATTACACCCAAACTCACGAGATAAATAAATGTAGGCCATACAAATATTTCTCCCGGCCCGGGAATCGAACTTGGGTCCTCTGCGTGGCAGTCCGTCATGGTAACCGTTCGGACACGGAGGTAGTTAAATATAGTGAGCGCGCACAGGATCTTTATAAGTTCAGGTTCTGACCTCAGATCAGCCAGTGTACAGTTACTAAAATATAGTCAAGTGACAGAACTTGACTTCATCCGGTTCTCAAAAGGCTGGTGCCCCGGGTGCACGTACAGTACACTCCTTATTTTCCAGATAGGTACCGGAGCTGCAGGCACGGTCATTCCCGTTGCGCATTGCATAATTAGCGGTTGCCACCGCTCCAGTTCCCAATAACGGACGTCCGCTGTACTCTGATCTTGCCGTCGAATCCGTAGTCTCTCTGGAATGCTCTGTGTCTCGGGTCGGTAGAAGGGAATATTTCCAACAGTTTGCAATGTGGAGCCTGGATGAGCAGGTCCTGGTTCCGATATCTGGTAGTCCTACCGTTACTGTTTCGTATATAAGTGTCTGCGCCAGGAACGCAGTTATACAGGCTGTATATTTAAAAGTGGGACATATTTATATAGTGCGTTATATTCCTGATTCTGAACCCAAACAAAAAATAAACTAATGAACTTAAACTTTACAAAAAATATGTATTTTTTTTATCGATTACTACTTGAAAACAACATTAGTTATCGAAATCTATGCACATCAATATTATTGCTCCGACGCAGCAGCGGGTGGCGACACGGCGGCGAAAAACAAAGTACAGGTCGGGGGTGGGGATGTTAGCACATACGCGAAATAGCTCAGTGCACACGCGACCTTGATCTAACGAAGACACGCAAATTATTTGTGCTTCCGCTCGCCCGATCGCCGCAAAATGGATATTTATTCTAACGTCGAATTGACTGAGATGGTGCGACTTTACGCAATAAGTGGTGACAGTGTGAGGTAAGCTATTGAAATGTTCCCAAATTGGAGTTTACGCGGAGGAGGTGAACAGTGTCGAAGTGTTGCGTGAGAGGATTATCTCAGCATCTTATACTATGAGACAAGATGTGTTTGTGTTGTACAATTTAAAACAAAATTTATTATGCCGTGCTATGCATTGTGGAAAACATTTTGAACACATGCTCCGTACCACGTAAGTGTAAATAAATTGTAAATAACTAAAAAATCAATCATTGTAAATAATTTGATTTCACATTTTAAACTACGCCAAAAACCTCAATTCTTATTAAATGATAACTAGTTACTAAATCATAAACTTATCTTTTTTAGTACGTAAAACATTTCGATGATAGTTCAAGTAAAAAATAATTAACATAAGCTAAAACATAAATGTGAAATCATTGTTATTGTTGCTTTCTCACTCGGCGCTCGCTTGATAGTATTCCCATTGCACTCGAAATCAAGCGTAAAGGGAAACGGTTTATTTCTATGTACACTTCAAAACAATTTTGTTCTATCCCATATCCTAATTTTATTTTTGTCTATGTTAAGTTATAACATGATTTACTGTGACAATTATGAATATGTCTCACTTTCAAATATATAGCCTGTATATGAAGCATGTTAATCGACATAGAGAAAGAGCGTTTGCCTCTCAAGTACCAAGTCCGATTCTAAGCAGTTAACGGCATCATTTATATTTTATATTTTCGATTCACGTAGTTTATATATGAAGACCTTGGTGGTCTAAGGGTTTAAATTGCGGGCGCTGAATGCGGAGGTACGAGTTCGATTCCCGGTAGGACCAAATAGGGAAATGACCTTTCCTAAATTATTTCTGGTCTGGGCGTTTCGGGTAGTACCCCGTAGTGAAATCCATTGCTCTGGTACTCATAGTACAGGAAATATCTTTGGTTTGAGACAGGGAATGCAATATTATTATAAATTTAAAGAGTACCACTCAAGACATTATCGCCTCTTTGCTGTATTGTTCCATATTTCCACAATACAGCGTTATTGTGGATATCATGATCGGCAATGATTTAAAGATGGTACTTACGCGTATATTCTCTTTTCGTCCTACTTTCATAATTAGTGAAGTTGTAATTTATTGCAGGAACAATCGTACTCCATAAATCTTTCTGTTCGCAAGTTGCCGATAGCCAGTTGGATATATATACTACATATTTCAATGGAACATTTTAGTGAAAAAGTGTCGTGGATATGACCTTCTTTTATAATGTTTATGAGGCTAAAAGTTTGATAAGGGAGTTTTTGTTCCTGTTGTTATTCTCATTTAGATCGGCTAAGTAGTTTGTTGTGTTTGTATTTAGGTTAAATTCGTTCTTCGATTTTGGAGTATATATAATTATAACTTATTTACTGAAACAAGTAGGTAATATAGATTTTGAGGTAAAATCGCCGGTAGGTATGCAAAAGGCACACATAATCTAACGCATTGTGGCGCCTTCATTTATAAAACTAAGTCTAAATATGAAATATGATCTAAATATTCTTTTTCGTTCTTAACACCGTAACAGCACTGGAACAGGTTTCAACTTCTTGCATATTTTTAAACTTACATAAGTGACAAATAAACTAACAAAAAACTTAAAAAAGAAACGATTTACTACGTTATAATGCAATTACGATAACAATTTAGTCCAGAAACATTGTGATTTTTGTACGTTAAGTAGCCACTTTCTTTTGGCATTGTGCAATTACAGCCCAATCCCTCTCATTGTGAGAGGATGTGGCTTGCAGGGATACTATAAAGAAGCGTTGATACGACAAGATGAAGAGGCATGACGCAACACATGCTTTCATGACCTGCGGACTAAAGGGGAAGACGAAGAATTGACAGTCGACGCTTCCACTGCCCCTTAATCCATGGGACGCTAATTACTCAAGGGCGTTCCTAGCGTGGGTGTCGTTCATTGTAGACAATATAAAGACTGCTGTACTTTACTATTTTTATCTCACCTAGCAGCAGAGTCTCGTCATCGAGGGCGGTGACCAACGAGTCTGTGCAGCAGGTGTTGGTGTTGTCGATGGAGATTCGCACCGAGGCGCAGTCGGCCGGCGAGTGCGGTAGCTGCTCCGCCGACTGCGCTGCCACTCGGCCGTTGGCCAGCCGCAATGACGCCGCCCTGCCTCCGGTACCTGTCGCTGCACCGCCTCCACCATCTTCGCATCTGTTGACAACAACAAATTATTATAAAAATGGTCGCAACAGACAAAACAATCTGGTATATGGTAGAAAAAAGTTAAAAAATAAGAATAAGTAACGGGACGAACAAGTCGGATGCCTGCTAGTAAGCGATGCGCCAGTCCCTAAGAGTTGCACTGCCACTCAGAGCTTTAACTCACAAAGATCAGAGGGGCACTGCCACTGCGCCCAACACCCTGAGACTTAAGTTGAGAAGTTCCATGTGCCTGTAATTTCACCAGCACTCTTACCCTTCGGAACCGAAGCCGGAATACAGTAATGTGAACATTACTGCTTGGCAGAAATAGGTAAGGTGGCAGTACTTCCTTGGACGAACTCTTTTACGAGGAGCTCTATTTATAGAGCTCTTGTATCAGATATCACACCTGCGGTGAAACAAATTGATTTTATACAAGAACAAAGACACATAATGCATTCTTTATTTTTCTATAAAGTGGTATAACAAAGCGGCATGTGATCGTACGTCAAAAGTGATTTTAGCACAATAAGGTCATAAAAATAACACGAATTAAACGAAACAAATTCTGTATAAGTGAAATATTAAACTAACCTAACTCTCTAATTTAAGCATAAATAAGTTATCTACAAAATCCGTTCGTAGAGTATTTAAACTTCTCTCTTGAAAAGTTGTTCTTTTGCAGATGCGGTTTATTACACTAAGTTACGATTTAAGACCCCTTCAAATCTATCAGTAGCCCTAAAAACCGAAAAGAATACTTTTTAACTCGTCTGCAATTTTTATAAATTCAAATTAAGACACTGTTTATCCGAAAGTGCGATATTTGACGGTGGATAGTCTAAGTCTAGTCTAGTCTAGTCTAGTCTAAGTGCCAATGTGCCAGATAACCACACCAACTGCCTGGTCTCAAACTAGCGAATTCCCTGTACTATAAGTACCAGAGCAAGGGAATTAATTTCATTTGAATTTTATTTCCCGATTTGTTCTTACCGGGAATTACATGAATGGACAGACTATTTCACATGGAGCTCTACTGCCACTAAAACTGCTTGAAACTTAATTAGTGCGTTATTGCTTGACGGTTTCGGTGATTCAACAGTTTGCACTGTGGGCGTTGGAGGAGGATGTAGAATTCCTAGTTCAAATTAGTGGAGAGAAATAAATTTATTATTATTTATTTATATCTAAAGATATAGAGTGCTGCCATTGTAATATTTGTAAGCTATTGGGCGAAGTAAATAAAAATTCTAGTCTAAAAAATTCCAATCTATTCTAGAGAATCATAGATATAGAGAATCTTAAATATAGAGAGACAGATTCCCCTGCGGAACACTGACAGAAGAGTTTCTAATTGAGACCGAGAAAGATTTACAATTCAGGAACACTATTCCCTAAACTCAATCCGTAATTCAGTGTAGAATAACTTTAGGTGGTAGGAAGGCTGCCGCTGTTTGGAAGCTACATAGGCAAAATTTCTGGGCTATATTAATTGTAAGTAGATGGTGTGACCCTATAAACAAAATATACCGTAGGTTTTCACGATTGTTACATTGCTATGCAAAATACATCATCAAATACAAATAATTATAAAATATTAAACAATTTATACATATAAAAAAAATAGAAAGAAGACGAAATTATTATTTAATAAAAAAGTTAAAACAAATAAGCAAAAAAAGCATGTCAAAAGGTCCATGACTCAGCATCTGAGGAGTATGGTAATTACATAGCCCTCGCTGACATTCTGCCATGGCCTGTCATAAAATAGAACATCATAATTAATAAAAATGGACACATACAACATTTAGACATGAAAACAATCAAATTGAATAATATTAAAATTGTATAATAGTAAATAAATAAAATTACAATAATAGTAAAATACGTAGGCTATGAAACAATTATTTTTCAACCAATCAATGTTTTGGGCGCTTTACAGGTCCCAAGATCACAGATCCAAAAAATAATTTCATTTCCTATGAAAATAAAATAGTAATAGGAAATATTGCCTTTTTGTTTTTTATTAATAATAATATAACGCAACACATACATAGCTCCGCACTAGAGAAACTCTGTATCGCGGGTGCCATGAACACACGCATTACACAACCACAAATTACATCCAAACTCAAGAGAGAAATAAATGTAGGCCATACACATATTTCATCCGGCCTGGAAATCGAATCCAGATCCTTTGAGTGGCAGTACGGCATGGTAACCTTTCGGCCGCAAAGGCAGTTTAAATACGTGCTCATTTGACCTCTATTTCACCTGGTAGAAAGTGATGAGGATAACAACGTAGCATGCACCCTTATATCGCTTTATAACACCAAGTTATTGCGTTCAAGAAACTAGTCTGCGGACATGGAATTCAAATCCATAGCCAATTATATACTTAATTAAAATTTAAATTACAAAACGAGAAAACGTTATAATGTTTAATGGAAGCGAGAACCTTGGTATGACTACCATTTATATAAGAACCAGTTATGTAAAATATGTGCTAAAGGCTTAAAAATAGGGCATTAC